CCCCCCCCCCAAAAAAAAAAAAACTGGGTTGAGTCACCTTAAGCTGACATTTTCAGCGAGAAAAGTCCGTATTTTGGAAAGCATCTTTTTGCAAAACAAGAACTGATTATGCGTGCTAGACTTTGTGGACAAAACTTTGCGACTGGTATGAATTTCTCTTTTAATCAGTGCCATACAAAGAGTTTTGCGTTTTTTCTCAGGAAAGTTATTTTATAAAAGCAATAGAAAACTTTTTCCTGTGTTTGCATAGCTTGATATAAACACTCGAGGCGTTGGAAGAATTCTTGACAGTTTTGCAAACCCTCGACTTCATCTCGGGTTTGCATAACTGTCTCAAATTCTCCCAACCCCTCTCGTGTTTATATCAGGCTATGCAAACACAGAAAACGTTTTCTATTGCTTAAATAGTCTATGTACTGTGTAACATAGAGGTAAATGTTTAGTAAAATAACTAAATAAGAGTGAAAAAAATGCCAAAAAAGACTCAATAAAGGTATAAGAGAGGAATTTCATAGCCATGTTTTAGCAAATTCAGTAATTTTCAACCCATTTACTGTGCTATAAAAATAACACAGTACAGCACGTAGTATTATTCAAATGAAACAATAAACTGTATTTTTACTTTTGGACACTTGGCGTTACATAGGTTTGACTGTACTTGAGCTTATAAACGTGTATCCCTAAAGTTTCTATACAAAAGGCAATACTGCTCACAAAAATTAAGTCTTAAAAGATTAATAACGAGACAAGCCAAACTGTTTGTCACTTCATATTTTAAATTTCCCGCTTCAAGCTTACAACCACGCTAGCTGAAACCCTTCAGACTAGTGATCCTCTTCTTAACGAAATATAACTTAAGATTTTTTCTAAATAAACAAAAAGTATCTTCTTTTGCTCCTGTAAATGTACAAACTTCATACCTGTAGCATATGATTTCATCAGATTTCATGAAGCCGCAACCTGATCGTACACAGCGAAAATCGTGGTCAACATTCCAACGATGTACAGCTCTGTCTGCCTCTTAGTTTGCCCAAAAATGCCACAGAACGAGGAACGAATTACTTTTGATAGCGGCAGTTATAAAACAGTCCATTTTTCGCATAGTCTTCACCAAAAACTGTTACATTTCCCCCATTTGCTGTTGGTAATCTTGGCTTCTAATGCACAGCATTGGGTTCTCATTCCCAGAACCCTCGGGGCACTAGATTTCCCGGGAAAAATAAAAAGGTCCGTATTGCGTGCAAGGATGACTTTCTCGAATAAACGATCATGGCAAGTTTGTTTTTTTTTTTTTTAACAAACCAGATAAATAAGTTTTATTAAATCATTCGTAATTTATCTTTCAATCATTTTACAGTGCTATAAACTACTGTATCTTTCACAATTGGCCTCACGTCTTGAAAAGTAGCTCGTGTTCTTAACTGTCAACCAGAACACTTAACAAGTCTTCCCTTTTCCTAGTGGGAGGGTTTGCTCTTGTTAATGCCGTGAGATGTCAGATTTTCATGTGTTTAAAAAATTGTACATGGGATTCCCAAAAGCTTAATCTATATGAAAATAATAAAGGCCATGCATTGACATACGACATTGGCTACGAGCTTACCACAAACTTTACCTGACAAAGAATTTTGTTCCGTTTGAAAACCTTTTTTTTTTTTCATCTTGCGTATTGATTGCAGGCGTACTCCTTCCTTTGTGGTTAGCCGTAATACCTTCCTCTAATCGGTCATTTAGAATTGTTTTGGGTGATAACGCTACTGGCGAGCTCAGCGCAATCCACAACGACGGCGAAAACAAGCACAAATCAAAAGAGGAACAGGTTGAATAAGCAAACAAAAGCTCTAAGCGCATAGCACACTTTCTAGCAGTTTTCGTTGCCATTATTGTACGACTAACGTTATCTAATCCGCTCCTAAGGTGTCGCTGCATCAATAGAAATCGTTGGCACTTCATTTTCGTTGAAAATATCCATACAGGTAATACAAAGGATCAATTATTTTGTGAATGAAAAGTGACAGGAAGGTGACCACTGATCAAGAATATAGTGATACTTAGAGAAAAATTCTTCTTAATAAAAGCCTTAGTCAAGCCGTGAAAGGGGTGGCGTGACGACGGCAAAGACAAGAAATACGTTAGGCTGTTGTCATCGTGAATAAAACGCCTTTGTACGTTTCCTTGCTGCCCTACGCACAAGAACAATGTGGAGTCTCCGGTTACCGGAGTGTCATATGCAAGAAGCCACAGGAAGCTAAGCAACTGCTTAAAAACAATTTCACTCCCAATATTCATTCATTCCCTCCTGTTCAAGGCTTCGGCCGAGCACGCCCTGTTGAAGACGCTAAATAGTGAACCTTTATACCCTGCATGTTTAAGACTCAAGATCCTGAAAACCCTCCCTATTTAGAGACACTTCCCTGCAGTTTAAGCCAAGTAAGGGAGTGCCCCAGGGGAGCGAGGCTCAGTATCTCTTATGTGCAGTAAAGGGGAAGGGAGGTGTCCGAAGGGGGCGAGGTGAGTATTAGAATTTATTAGAATTATTATTATTATGCAGCCTACAACGGGCTACAACACACCATACAGACCATATCTACCAGGATATAATTGAGCGTAAGGGAGTGGTCATTAATTACTGGCTGGAGGGCCGGAAAATACAGGGGAGAGCTAAAAATTTGAAGGGGCTTTAACGAGGTTCGAAGCAATTACCGGTGCATTAGCGCTGTAGTGCTCTACCAACTGCGCTATGAATACCCAAACATTGGGGGATAAGCTCATTTTAACCGGAAATAAAATAAAAAAATGAAGCTCTGAATTTTTTTGGCAGGCTGTATGTGTGATTATATTGCTTAGATCATGCTATTATTACTGCATGCGTAATACAATTTGAATTTGAAACTACAACCTTTCTGTATTTGGTGGTCAGAATGAATTGTCTTTACAACTTTAAGCAGATAAAATATCTGTGATGACATTATATCTAGTTCAATAAGAAAGCCGATCTGAAAGAAATAATATTTATTCAATTTTTACTTTGCAATGTACAACATGTACAAAAGTATGTTCAACTTAAAAAAAAAAAAAGAAACTTCGCAATCCCAATTTTATTAAATACAAAAACACCTAAAAGGTGAGGTTAAATTGAAGAGTTTAAACGAGGATTTAAAATTACAGACATAAAAAGATCTTACTAATCCTCTTAAGACAAAGGCTGCACAGCCAGCGGTTTGTGAAAATGACGATAAGCGATAGTTGAAAGAGAAATTAAAAGAAAAAAGATGATGCCGCCGAGAATGCTTGCGATGATAACGCAGGTCGTGCATTTTTCCACAGTGTCATCTGGTTCCTTATTTCTGACCACTGGACAAAGACCCAAAGAAGACAACGAAGATTCCTCGTCATCAGGCGAGTTCCCTTAAAAAATAATAATCAATTCATTGTTATTAGTAATGTGTTCAAAGTAATGCAAGTTGTTCNTAAGACAAAGGCTGCACAGCCAGCGGTTTGTGAAAATGACGATAAGCGATAGTTGAAAGAGAAATTAAAAGAAAAAAGATGATGCCGCCGAGAATGCTTGCGATGATAACGCAGGTCGTGCATTTTTCCACAGTGTCATCTGGTTCCTTATTTCTGACCACTGGACAAAGACCCAAAGAAGACAACGAAGATTCCTCGTCATCAGGCGAGTTCCCTTAAAAAATAATAATCAATTCATTGTTATTAGTAATGTGTTCAAAGTAATGCAAGTTGTTCTAGCTTACGAGTTTAGAGCAGATCCTGATTTTTGACAACTTAAACAAGTCTAATGATCAGCACTTTTTGGCGGCATTCCTTGCTATATGTTATTTTTGAGGTTCAAAATTATCATCAAACAAAAGTTATTTTGGCGTATTATATTCGCATAGTGGATCTCTCAGGAAGCGCGCGCAGCGAAGCATCATGGGTGAGAAAAACTGGCAACCTAAAAATACGAGAAATTTTGGCAATCACGTGACTCTCGCCCGTCCGTACACCCCTACATGTAAGCCGGAGTGAGATTTCGCATTCAAGCACCCGCTCGTTTTGGTGGCAAATCGCATGGCCACTTGGACATTTAGAAAGAAAAAGCAACAACAAGGCGAGTCTTTTTTTCGACCAAATTTTGATGTCTACACTGACATGGATAACAGAGAAAGAGCAATGGCGCGAGAAATAAAGCAAAGGAGACGAATTTCGCTGGAAGAAGGATGAAAATTTTGTAATGGCAGTGAGAAAATGAGAAATGCTAGCAGCCAGCAAGGTGAAAAATGAACGGCAGTGAAAAAAAAAGAGAACAAGAACTCAAAATGGAAATTTTTTGCAAACAGTTGCGAACCACGAGCTGCAGCATTACATGATCCTCTGGAGCATAAAATCCTAAAGACACCCGGGTAACTGTTGTAGTTGTGTAATTTTCTAGTAGCAGCCATTATAGTTACATTGCTTTCTTGTTCCAACACCCTCCCCCTCATTATATAAGAACAGGTTTTATTTGCAAGGCTGAACTGGTTCTTATATTTATCAGGTGCTTTATGGGCCAAATTTCAGCCTGTTGTTCTTAATCCATTTGTTCTTATATGCGGGTGTTTACTGTATAAAGATGAGATTTTAAGGTACATTTCTGTAAAGTCTTTTGGACAGTATCTATGGTTAGTTCTAGCAGTTGGCTCGTTTAATTAAAGTCTCAAGAGCCGGCGAGGATATCTCTTGTGAGTTTACGTGTGCTATTGCAGGATTCTTAGGGCCTGTTTACATGGAGTGGGGGACCCCGGTCTAGTGGGGTTGGTTTCTTTTGTTTTCACGCTCTAGGGGACACAAAAGAAAAGAAACCTACCCCACTAGACCGGGGTCCCCTACTCCATGTAAACAGGGTCTTATTCATAGAGTAGGACATTATATTCATCAATTGCAAGTCAGGAAAACGGAATATGGAAACACATACCCTCTTCGTCAACATCCTCATAGTCGTAACCAAACTCAAACGACTTCTTGAAAATGTTTTCATGAGTGAACACAGGAAAGAGTGGCACAATGAGATCACCTCTGTTGTGGCCAAGGGGAGCGTCGTATGACGAAAGAACAGAAGCATTCTTGTTGTACTTACGAAGCCACTTCTCTAAAACCCGATCAACAGAAGAGTGGTGAAGAAAGAAGATGGGGTCATTAGACGCTGATAGAGAGCTACTCATTGCACCTCCAATCACCAAGTGCACTCGATTATGAAGAGAATGAACATTTGGCAGTCGATAACCCGTAGTAGTGTTGATGAAACCCCCAAGGAGGTTTCTAAAATTGCAGCTTGAATCTGCGCTGTAGGGTGGAAGATCGAACGTGTCAAAACGAAGAGCAAAGTTTACATCCTTTTTGGACGGAAAAGTCATGTGGTATCCGTTTTCTTTCATCTTCTTTTTGTCGCTCTCTTTCAAACGCTCTAAAACAGGATTTTTAGTCGCAGGGTCACACATTTGAGTCATGAGCGTGTCTTCATAAGTACATATTGTGCTCCAGTCGTTGAAATATTTCCCCTTCACAGTGCCGTCTCCTTCCGTCACTCCAAGCAGGTCTTCAGTGCAAATTTCGCACTTGTCTTCATTAACGGTCCAATCCCAGTATGGTATGGTAAATTCCTCGTCTTCAGTCACTTCTTGAATTGTTCTCTCTATCGCCAGCAGGTATAACCGATGCCATGTAAGAAAGCCTTGCCCCTCATGCGCAAAGTCCATGACTGTGCCCGTGAGATTATCAGCGTGAACTGGTCCACGCGCTGCATAGTAGTGCACCCACACAAATAAATCAAAGACCGTGACATTGTGAAACAAACTTGTTGGATCCTGGCCGGCAACGGTTCTATCTTGTATTTCTTGGTAGGAACTCCTGCTCACAACATAATCACTGTCCACATACCTGAAAACAAACCGAAATTGTTGGAGACCGATGCTCTGTCGACACTCCACCTACAACACATCGACCAATAACGTGGTCTCGCGCGATACTCGTTCGATCAATCGGCTGACTGTCGGTAGAGTATCAGTCGACACTCGACCGACAATCGGTCGATACTAGACCAATCGATTTAATTGTCGATTGTATCGATCGATACTACATGGAGTACAAATTTCTTTCATCAGAGAGCACTAACCGTCAGTGATAATTGTTTTGTGATTTTTGCAGGCATAACATTACACTGAAAAATCTTGAAAAATTTCAAGTTTTAATCCTTCACGCCCATCCTTACCATTCAAAGCAAAAGAATACAGGAAATTAAATAACAAACCCGGAGCATAATTTTTGGACTTAAAATATTACTGCGAAGAAAGGTTACAGCTTTCTAAAAAGATAGCAAATAGTGTGACAAATTCCCTAAAGGCGTCCTATTCGATAATTATAGGGCGCGCGACAGACTGCTTACAGTCCGCCCATGTTTCTGAAAATTCGTTTAGTTCTTATCCCAGCCAGTGCAATTGCCAACAACGACGTATCAGTAATGGATTAGGACGAGACGAGAAAATTTTTCCTTCCCTCGTTTATCCTCGCCGCTTGCGTGCATGGTTACACTTAGAGTAACTTCAGTCCCCGATGCAATCCTAAAAGTCTGGTGTACTTGTATTGAAATTCCGACCCTGCTCGCTAGTAGAATTCCAGTAGCTCAGTGGTTACACCGTCCGAACTAGAACTCGGAGGGTCGAGAAATCGATTCTCACCTCCACCTCGGAAAATGTTTCTGCGCTTTCTGGTGTTTGAATTCTTCTTCTTCTTTAATTTGAAAAGAAAATGAGAGACAGCTCACAGTCCACGCGCGCAAGAGGGAAAAAGGAAACTTCCTTTCTTCCTTGCCCACCCTGACGCCCCGTTCCAGTTCCTTTCGAACGCCTGGGCGCGCTTGTTAAATCTTACCTTGTCTTATTGATGTAACTCATATAACGATGTTTCTCGTCGTTTGTCAGCTTGGCGAAGTTTCTACGCTTCAGGAGTCTTTTCTGGTTGCAGTCGTCACCATGGTAACCGTATTTACACTTGCTACAATCGTAGCCGGCAAAATTTGACTTGCACTTGCAACTTCTGTTGAAAAGCGCATTGGGCCAGTTATGGCGGTCGTCCCCTTTATGGAATTCTTGGTAATGGCTGTACGCTTTGTTCCACCGGCGAACGATCAAATCCTGGCATTCACCACGGTCTCCGTCTGTACCACATGGTGCTTTGAAGCCGTTTGGTGTAGGGCAACACGTCTTGTCCCTCAAGCTCTCGAGGTTCACACAGGCTTTCGGAAACTGGCTCTCAACCCACGGAAACCAAAGAGCAATAATATAAAGAAAACTAGTTATCTGAAAGGTCATCTTCTTTTCCTGAAAAATAGTAAGTAAGGGGGACTAACTATTTCATGTTTTTCATTAGGAGTGGCTGGGTTGCAGATCACTGACCTACAAACTCTATAGTACGAGTTAATCTTCCAATTATGATTATTTCAAGTAAGACTGATAATTATCTTCGCGAACTGATCTAGTTTGACAACTGAAACACTCGAACCTCCTGTAGAAGAACGGCTAAACCGTGAATATTTAGTGGTCGCCTACGTGAAGTGGTCGCTTACAAGAGTCGAACCGAAAGGGTCTCTTCCGGAATTAGGTTTAAGACATCTAAATCAGATTCAAGAGAATTTATTGCATATAATCACGTAAAGTATCATGTTGTTATAAAAGGTCTTCGTATACTCTACATACAGCGAACATAGAGATGAGACAGAGAGGGAAGGGATAATGCGCTAACAACCTCTTCCCGAAGGCGCTTTTCCCTGGCTTTTCCCGCCCCACTTCCAGACCTAAGAATGGCCTTGGTACGTCACGTGACAATTAATGACTCCAACCATAATTCAAAGTTATTGAAGTTACACCAGGTAGTCTGTCCATAAGTTATTTGGTGCTATATTGAAAGCTTAAAAAGTTAGACCACCCCCTCTGTTTTTGAGGAATTACATAGAAGACCCATGCCTTAATTTTCTTGAGATTCCATGCTTTGGATTCCAGTCTTTGTCAATGGAACTTAGATTGTGGATTCCAGTCGTTTGTGGGATTCCGTATTCCAAAGCCCAGGATTCCAGATTCTACAAGCAAAAACTTAGAGGAATCCGGCCGGAACCCGTACTCCCTTACATGGGGCGGGATATCAGAACAGTGCGCAGAAGAATAATATCCACGGAGCACAGAAGAGTTATCTATGACCTCGTTAAGTTCAGAGCCAGGACGAATTGCCTTCACTTACTACAGAGTCAAATATCAACTAGACAGATCAAAATTTGTTATAAATCTGTTAAATTATAATCCAGATATTATCCAATGCTCGGTGGGAACAAACGTTGCGCGAATGACGCATTCGCTTTCCTAGTGCGGTACGAAGTTTAGTTGTTGTTATTCGTCCGCAGTCATTGCTTTTAGCTGTTTACGGGAGCATACCGAGTGGCACGAAATTTTTGCGGATTGGCGATTTTTTTCTGTTTTGCTATTGCTATTGCTATTGCTATTTTTTGCGATTAGGACAGATTGTTTTTCCTGCTGGGAATTAATTTTCGCGATTTTCAGAAAGTACCCAGTACCCAGCATTGAAATACGGTATTTTCGTTTTTGTTTGAGTACGTGCACTAGAAACACATATTTTCAAACAATAAGCCAGTATTTAATTGTATACTGTTGAGTTTCTGAATGAAAGAGACAAGTTGTGATTGAACAGACACGATTTCTTAGTACTGTATTTTTGTGTGGCGAATTTAAGTTTGAGAATAAATTACTCTGGAGTAAATTTTTGCGGGAAAAATGTTTGCGGTAATTTTTATTTAAGAAAACTTATTTTTTAGGATCGCTGGAAAAATCGCAAAAATTAGAACCCGCAAAAATTTCGTGCCACACGGTAGGATAATATATTTGACAGATTTGTAACACGATCGCACCATGATTTGTACGTCCTTCTATGTGAACAAATGCGATTCGCGCTACCAACTGTATAATCAAGGCCACAAATAACTCCTCTGGGCTCTGCGCTGTATCGAGTTGTCTATCTACGATCTCGAGAAACAAATCCGGCTGCAATGCGTGCTACGTCAGATTCGTGGGTTACAGAAAAAACTCCTTATTTCGGGTTAAAGGTTACGCAACGGTGTCGACGCTCATATTTTGACATGTTTTGAGTTTGGATAACCTGTGGACAACTGTTGTGGATCAGTTCAATGAATGAACGCGTTTACTAACTCAAGACGAAGTCGTTTACTAAATGTGACTTAGTACCTGACCAGGTTTTGTAATCCTCATCGTGAGTTTTATATTTCCCTTAAGTTATTTTTTCCTAAAATGAAGTCAACCTCTAGCTCTAGGAACTGGTGAAGTCAACATGTTCACAATGGCAGGAAGGACTTTATGTTGTCACAACCAAGTAAACGAAATACACAAGAGACTTAAGAGTCTTTTAGCTGTGGTGTTTTAGGAAAGAAACTTATACAAAATTGTAATAAGAGAGCAATAGAGCAAGTTTACTCACCAATCAATCCTCCGTTTCTCTTCTAACAATATGAAACCAGGTGTGAAAGCACAATACAAACAACTGATAGTTTAATATTTCCCTAGGAGAGATCGTGCTCAACATGATCTGGTACGGCGCCCCGGGGTCATGGCCTGTGTAGCAGTCGTTTCCCGGCTTAGCACGCCTATTCAATTTTTTTTCTCCTTTTCAACCCCGCGCGTCCTTTACGCTTCTCTCGCATGGCTAAAAGAAAATAGCCTGCGTAGCTGACAGGAGTACTTTCTAAGCGAGTGGCAGGGCCGCCAGAGAAAGGAGAAAATCCTGCCTGCCACATTTCTTATGAGTTTTGAATGCCACCCTCTTTTGTCATCCTGCTCAGTATCAGGCAATCAGGAAAAGAGATGTAAAACGAAACCGTTGGTAATTTAGGGGCGGACCCTTAGGAAAGTTATGGGGGATGAGGGAGGGGGGGTGGTTGCGGGGAATTTTTTGAATTTTTTTCGTTAACATTTTCATTGCATGATTTCTTAGGTATCTTTTAGGGTTAATTGGCGCGTATGTTTTTTTTTTTTAATATCATTTCCCCTTGCGCGAATATTTTTTTTTTACTTCGTCCACCCCCAATAAGTCTTCTAATGGTCCGTCCCTTACTCACAAAAAGGCGAGAATTCGACCCCATGATCCTGAAGTGTCTCTTAAAAGAAGACGGTGT